TGCAATGCCATGCCATGCCATGCCATGCCATGCTATGCAAATGCAGTACGAGTACAATTCATTACCTTCCTATATATATCATGAGGAAACAACTTGGTTATCTATGAAGCCTCATTTTCACGAAGCTTGATGCATATGCAGTATCTTAACCGTCCCGTCGTGCCCAGTAGCCGAAGGGTTGTCGCAGTGCATTGTAGCGAGCAACACAGAGAGGGACCAGCACAGCAACGCAGCACAGAGGGCAGCAGTATAGCTAGATAGAAACTGAACACGTATTTACGAATATAATATTGCATGCAGTAAAAAGAGCGAGAAAGAGGCGAATGCGTTGCTTGTCCAGGGCTTCAAGACAGTGCGTGAAGCAATTGGCTCTGGTGACTTACACGCCCCCCAAGGCAGAATTTTAGTCTAAGAGGAGAGGAGATTTCACAGGGGATCAGATAGACGTGTACATTTTTGCCTCTGCCGAGGTCTAACTTGGTCTAGGCGAATCTGGATTTGCAAGATGTGTTTCTGCGCGTGAGAGGAGAAAGCGAAAGCGACAGGGATGATGAGTTTTTAACGAGGGCAGAAAAGCGAATAAGAGACGAGACATGGGTGATAACTATAGGTCGAGCTACGGATATAAAGACGATGGGGATTGGGGGGAGGAATAATACAGCGGTTATAGAGCTCTATATCCATGGGTACAGGTGAGTCATCCGACTTGTAGGGGTCTTGAGGGTCTATGGGGAACACCTAAAGAACAACGCATTGAGGCTTTGTTCTCGTGACTGGGAAGATCAACGGCGTTTGTTTCATGATTGGTCTTTGTTTGCTTGACAATCTTAATATATAATTTACACGTGATATCTTGGTATCAATAGTTGTTTGATCAACCATCAAACAAGTAACGGTGAAGAGAGGCAGCCCGCGGTCAGATAGTCAGTTACCTTTGACGTAGTTGAACGGTTTTAGTTGACTTTTTAGTCCAACGGTTCCAACGTTGATGACAAAACAAGTGACCGATATCGTCAACTCCAAAGATATTTTGGGCACCTACTGAAGTTAGAGTTGGAGACGACGTCAACGGCGCTCGACACCGGATAACACGGCCCTCAACAATGAACAACTACAAGTTCTGGGGAAAACCCAGTAATCCTTGATAGATGAGTTAGTCAATTGATTCAAAATATTCTTCAGTGATAATGACTTATAACCAAGACCCAAAAGAAGGCCGTTCCAGCGACGATGAGTATAATAACGAAGCTAGTATTGGACTTATTTCCGAACAACCCCGAAAGAACAAACGAAAAGAAACATGCACAAAGACATTCTTGGTGATGCTTTTGATAGCGTCGAATGTTGTTTGGATCGCTGCAGTATCAGGAACTTGGTACGGGACCAAGGATCTACTTGAGAGATGCGAAAGTAACAGATATCCTGCAGACTTTGGTACGTTGGTGTATATGATATAGGTACGATGGGATCATAACTAAATATCTACAGTTTCGAGAGAAGCGGTGCCGCTCAAGCTCAAGACCATCAACTTTGATGATCTTCTCCAATACAATACCACCAGCCACAAAGTCTACCGAGAGATGAACCCTTCGCTACCACTATACTTTGGTCCTCCAAGTCCTGCAATCGATGCAGCATGGGAGAAGCTTCTTCACTACCAATATCCCGCCGTCAGCGAAGAAGAAATAGCAATGAACCCAGCTCTATCATTCTCACCAAATGACAGGCACCCAATGACTGGTCAATACCACGGCGCACTCGACGTATTCCATAATCTTCATTGTCTCAACATGGTCAGGAAGCAATTTGATAAAGACTACTACGGAGAGATGAACATGAACACGAGATACGAACGTCCGCAAAGTTCTATTGACGCTGCTGAAAAGGACCATCTTTATCACTGCATGAACCATATTCGACAGAGTCTTCAATGCCGACCTGATCTTAGTCCTGCTGCTATGCATGTCTTCAAGGATACGGATGGATCACAATTCATCTTGGGGAACGCAAAGAGTCATTCTTGCTACGACTGGCAAAATATAATGGATTGGGCTGTAGCTAGGGAATCGACATTGGGTTACGCTCAACCTGTTCATTAACTTAGACAGTAGGTATACTTAGTAATTATCGTTTGAAGCATTTCATTGGATCTCGACCCAAGTCTAGAATACTACGCGCCCATTGCCAGCGCTTGGCTACCATGTTCAGCGCCTGAGACAAGTCCCCCCACCGCTAACAATTCACTGGCCTCTAGCGGTCACCTACTTATTCCTCAACCAATCGCCGTCCCTCTTCGCCGCGCGCTTAACAACTTCTGAGACTCAAGCCAACCACAACCTTTGACTTCACTTAGACCAATTGTCTCGACCATGGCAACACTATCGTCAAACAATCTGGCAAAGATAGACCCATTTTCCTTTTTCTACTGTCTAGTAGTTTCTATTCCAGGTCTGATTCTATGGACACAGCCTCATCCCTCCCAGCGCGTGTCTAGCAACAGGGTCCTCTGACTGGCTCTCGACATCTGGTATGCAACCGCCCATGCGACAATTGAGCCTGAAATATCGTGATTGAATGGGTCGAGATGGTCCTCAACAGACAAGGCGGCAATGGAGAACAAGGTCATTCATTGTAATGAGTTGGTGAAAGTGACCTCATGGCCTGGCCTGGTCTGCCTTTGTCTACCCTTGTTCTCCTTCTTTTACTTGTTCTCTCCTCTGTATCTACTGTTCTAGTTCCTCACTTCAACTGCTCTACCAGAAACAATCAAACAAAAAGAACCATTGTTCAGCTGTTTCATCCACTACATCTTGGTCACACGCGCTGGTTGTGTTTGACTTGACAAACTTCTTCCTCTTTCACTCTGCATGTTATAATCCACAACCAACAACAATAATATCCGCTGCAATATCAACTGCAACTACCAACAACATCAACCTAACCTGACTTGACTTACATAACCAACAACGCCAGATGATGGTTTTGGCTAGACTTCCTGCGCCCTTACGGGTTCTGCTCCTCACAACTCTCTGCGCCTCTACCGCCTCTGCCCTCCCTGCTACTCGTATCTTCGCTCGGGAAGACACTTGCGACGCCGACCAGACTTCATGCAATAGCGATATCGCCAACTTTTGCTGTCCGAACGGCAACTCGTGCAAACTCCTCGCCGGCAAGACCACAGCAGTGTGTTGCCCCAAGGGTCAAACCTGCAATGTCATTCAACCCATTACCTGCGATATCCGAGGTCAAGACCAAAAAGAATTCCCAAACGCACCAGTCAAGACGATAGTATTCAATCTTGCACTTGAAAAATGCGGCAAGAAGTGCTGTCCTTTCGGATACTCATGCGAGGACGACCAGTGCGTTATCGACAAGGATCAATCTGATATCCCAAAGGGTGCCGAGCTTCCCAACGAGACTTCTACTCCTGTGCCCAGTGCAGTAACCACTGCTACTGGGGAAATCGAGACTATCTCTATCAGTGCTGCACCGTCAGCGAGTGCTGAGCCAACAGAGGCAGTTGGAGCTGGGTCTGACAAGAGCTCAGACTCCAATGATGATGAAGATAATGAGTCCAAGTCTGATAACTCAGGCCCTGCTACAACGTCCATTGTCGGTGGTGTAGTGGGAGGCTGCATCATACTCCTCGTCATCGCCATCGTCATCTTCCTCTACGTCCGTCGTCAAAACAAACGTGAAGCAGCTGGTTCAGAAAAAGGCAGCCACATCTATGGTAACGGCCGTCGAGCCAACAGCGACGCCTCCTTTGGAAACATCATCTCTGAACCCATCAGCCAACCAAACTCCTACCGCGCCGACTTCATTCTCAAGACTCCTTCTACCCAGCGTACAAGTATCGTGCCTGTCCCTGCACGTCAAGTTTCCAACGCTAGCAATCGCCTCCACGCTCCTCCTCGCATTCGCATCTCTATACCCAATCCCTTCGACTCACCTAACCCATCACCCAACGCTCAACCCAGTTCTGCGGACAACGAAGAGTCTCTTCGCCATGGTAACGTTCGTCTACCACCCATTCGGGCCATGAAGGCTTCTTCGTATGGCTATCGTCAGCCATCTACCCCCGAACTCCAACGTGAGCCAAGCACAGAGAACATCGACGTCTTCGCAGACCCAAGCACTATTGTTAAGCCTCGTCCTCTGACACGAGCAACCACTTTTACAGATCTCATGGACGAGGCTGATCTCGGCGCTGTGCGCAGAGGAAAGCCTTATGTCCCTGGAACAACACCCAGGATCTAAACACATTCCCTCCAACACTTTTCCTTAAATGTCATATAGAGATCACCTCTCTCACTAATAGAGAACTCAGACAACGCCATATGCTGTGCATGATGGAGTCGTCTTGTTACGTACATAGATAACACGCTGGAAATGACTCTGGCGTTGCGGTTGCATAAATGGGATGGAGTAGCTGTCGTTTATACCCCGGATTTTTGTTTTAATATTGGCTATTCTTTGTTAAAAGACTTTGAAAAACGAAGATTAGTTTGAAATGGTATGCGAATATTCATTCATATTGTTGAGCTGCACTCGGGTGAAGTAAAATGTATGTCACAACTACCGATGTCAGAAGTCCAAAAATGTGTATATCTTTGATTATATAGGGGTAAATATGAACGCGAATGCAAATAATCCCGAGATCCAGACCCTTTGTTCTTCTCTTTTCTGCTATAGAGCACGTCCCGTTCGCCGTTTTTGCTCTCAAATCCTAAACTATAACAGAACACGCTATGCCATCCTACCACACGATATCGAGTAAACGCAGAGTGAAAAGATAAAAGTCCACGAGTACTAGAGTGCGGACAGAGAGAACAAAGTAAAATAAAGAAAACAAGTAACGATTGGGTATGTGTGTGTGCGTAACCAAGTATCAAGCATCCGAAATCCGCATATATGACGCCATTACCTGGCTATTATCTTCTTATCCTCCTCTTGTAATATAGCCAATTTGTGCATGCAACTGTCTTTACATGACGATGCATTTCCTTTCCTTGTCTTTGTCCTTTTCCTTTTCTCCAGAGCCGGTTGATATGTCTGTCCAGCCGGCACTGCTCGCAGCATCTGTTCCCTTCTTTTTCTTTTTCTTGGGCTTGGCTGACCAGCCGCGTTTCTTAGCATCCTTGATGTTCTTAGCGGCACTTCGTTCAGCGCGGCTTGGCCGGCGGTTCACTGTCGGTGAAGTTCTTGTCACAGGTACCGGAGGAGCATTCAGCCAGGCAGGTACTTGCCCATTGGCATTGGGCAGTGGAAGTACCGGTGGGTTGCCTCCGTGGGAAGAGGCAATACTGTAGATCGTCTCGAGACGCTCCACAGTCGGCCGCTGGTTAGACCCAGGGACCGGACGTGGATGTCGAGGAATCGGGGCCAATAAAGGAGGTTCATTCCTCCGCCCAGATGTTTGACGGCTTGGCGAGTCAAATGCTCCTGATACACCTCTAGGAGTACTAATAATAAGAGGTTGATCGGGCTCAAGATGACTAGGATTTGATGAGCGTGCTGACAGGGAGTCAGGCATGGAGTTCGATATATATGCACTACCATCGAAACTTCCGACAGGTCGTCTTGGGACCTGGAATCCCCCGGAGAAGCGTCTGGGGTTACCCTGACTGACTCTTTTGCTCAAGCTTGCAAGTTGACTCGAACTAGGCAGAGGGGGCAGACCCGACATCGACTCATCCGTAGGTGGTTCGGCAGGTGCAGACATCGGGAACGGAAACTCATCTGCTGGGTTAGTGATCTGATCAGGCCCAGGGCCTGTAACCCGGGGCCAAGTCTGAGCGTTTGATAAGCGCCTGACCCTGGGCGCTAAGTCTGGCTCAGGCTGGGCCACAGATGCAGCCGATAGCGCAGGCTCCACGTTGACTGCTGGCAATCGAGGACCTGGACCAAAGTGGTCATGAGCTGAAATATCGGTATGTAGTGGCGTGTGCAGTGGCGATGGCGAAGGATCTTCATTTGTGGTGTTGGCAGGAGCAGCCCTGGATGTAGATGTTATGGCAGAGACAGCTGATGAAACTGAAGCCTGTCGTGCTCTCGCCTCAGAAGTCTCTACTGTAGGCTGGGCCGCCGTCTGTCGCGGGGAACCAGGGGGAGTTGCGTCGTAGAGATCAACATCCTCATCTTGTGTTGCCGGTGGGTTCACGCTCGTTTGGGTACTATCGACGCCCAGAGGTCGACTCAGCGCATTCGAATCGCTCACTGTATGCTGAACTAGCGGCCTCTGAGACGTAGTGTTCGTATGGTTCTCGCCCTTCGAGTCGGCAAATTGAGCGGAGCTAGAGCCAGTTGCTATATGAGGTGGTAGAGCCGGCACAGGAGGTATAGGAACAGGGGCCGGAGAAGATGCGCCCCCGAGTGCGATTGGTGCAACAGATGGACCACGCATAAAGGCTGGCAGATCTGGACCCGGATCATCCTTCTGGTAAGGGGGTGGAGGAGGTACCCAGTTATCGGCATCACTCTCGTGAGGATGTTCTCTTCGACCATCAGCACGACGATATTCGATGCGCCGCCCATCTGCCGTCCGAGGATGGAGGGATCTGTCTACGGCGGCAGCAGTCGCAGCACGACGAAGCGTTGTCTGTGAACGAGGACTGGCATGTGCATATGGAGCATCCAATGCCTCCATTTGCTCTATCGATAGTACATCTTCATCATCAGGACTATCAGGCTCGACATCCCGCCGCGCTGTGGATTGAGTTGGGGGAAGCCGGCCAATTCTTCGAGGAAGTAAAGGGTCATCATCGTCGTCGTCGTTGTGCTCGCTCTGTGTTACTCGTGCAACACTCGATACCTCCGGAACTTTAAGAGTGGCACGAGGTCGTGAAGCAGATGTAGCAGCTCGAAGTAAAGAAGACCCACCACGACCACCTCGTCTTTGAGCAACGGTCCTCCGTCGAACAATGGCGACTTCGGTCGCAAGATCACGTTGCTCTTCTTCCAATATCTCGGGGTGATCGGTGCCAACTTCGATAGTCACCTCCGACTTGGTTCCGTTGACAATGCCGTAGTCAAAGTCCAAGAGTGTAACACGACCACCGTCTACAAAATCCATATCTTCCTCCTCGGTAACCAATCGTGGTGCGCCAACCCCTCTTGCGGTGATCACCAGTCGTTCTTGGACCGAAGAGTTACCGTAATCTGCAACCCATTTCACTGTCTTGACATCTGCAAGCTCAGCAACTTTGAAGCCGGAAATGAAGGTGTTCCTTAGCTTGTCGCACAAGATCTGCCATTTCGGCACCCGACCACCTTCGGTATCTCTAGCTCGAGTAGACGCCCGTCGCGATGTAGCACTGCGATCGCTGTTTTGTCGTCCAAGGCCAGATGATGAACCATCATTTGACAACGACGAGCTGTCTGGTACCGCATCCAAATCCTCGGGCACGCCATAAATCCAGACCTCCTTCCCTTGGAACCCGGCTGACACTAATTCACCTCGATATGTCGTAGCAGGAAGCGTTGATGGGATAAGGCTGGCTTGCGAAGATGCACTCGGTACAGGTCCTGTAAAGTATGTCGTCCCATTTCTAAGATCATCGATTCGAACGGCGCGGAATGTCTCAAAACTTCGATCGTAGGTGAAAGTCCAACTCGCTTCCTCTTCGTGTCCGTCCTGAAGCAGAACAGCATGGCTGCAGTCTCGGCTGGTGTTGGGAAACAGAATCGATGTCGTCCATAGAGGGCTCAAGTTGTCTTCGGACATGTGAGGGCCGGGGTCGTAGTACGGCGCTGTAATGATGACAGTGCTGGGTGGCGAGGAATGCATCGTAGTTCCAAGAATTTGAGTTCCGTCAAATGAAAAAGATAGGGCGTCGACGGCATCGCATTTGACAGCTCTCCGGTCGGTAGCCAAGGCATCTGGTCGCAAGGACGATACCTCAATGCCTCCTTCATATGCCGCCGCCAAAACCGACCCGCATGGGGAAAGTGCAATCGTTCGAGGAGTGTTATCAAGAATTATAGACTGTGCTCTTTTTGGTGGATTTTGCAATAAGTCATAGAGGTCAACCTGCATCTCAGTAGATAAAACAGCTAATAGAGTGCCTTTGTCGTTGATGCAAGCTGCAACAGGCCGACGAAGGATTTTAAATTCCCTCTTCACTTCGAGAGCATTTCCTCTCAGATCAATCACATAAATCCTACCCGAGTTGTAGGCTAGGAGATGGTGCCCCTTCGGAGATGTGCTGTACTGCATACCCTCGCCTCCGGGGCATGACGAAGAACTGATGGACGTAGAGATAAGCTTGAAAGTTGTTTCCTTGGGTCTTAGGTATGCTTCGAATAAGTTTCTTTTAACCTCGCGGGCGAAAAGCCGCCGCAACTCAGGAAGTTTGTCATCGTCGAAAGGAGGAATGGTGGGGTGGCTGGCTGAGTATGAAGGACATGCCGATAACTGGTCACGATAGAGATGAGCGCGTTGAGAAACGGCTCTCCATTTGCGGTTGAGGAGTATAAGGGACGCGAAACCGTTGGGATCGGCGAGTCGAAGTATCCTGGTTGTGAGGCGGGAGCGTTAGCACATGATAATAGGATAGGAGATGAGGACCGGTGCTTTGACAATCGATGATATTGAATCAGTTGTCAGTGCGCGCAAATGGAGCTGAGGTACAAGCCTGTCAATAAGCCCAAGAGCTACTTACTGTTCGATGATCTCGTCGGGCAGGTTATCGAAAGGCGGAGTTGGAGAAATGGGCATCTTCTCGATACTCGGGCGACGGATGTCGGTTGCCGACGCGTCCATGACGCTTTGTCGCTCTACGGAGGGAAACCAGCGAGCATATCAATCGGGTTGATGAATCGCAGCGAGGCTTGTTAAGAAGACACGAGACAATAAAAGGAGGAAGTTGAGTCGTGGGCGTTGCGTTTGCGGCTGTAGATCTTAGAATCGAATTGGTTGGTTGTGCCTGGACTTCTTTGGGAGTGTGGCTGAGGCTTCCTTGGGCTGAGACGTGACGATGGCGGGTCTTTTTTGGCAGTGGAAAAAGGAATGGTATGGCTAGAAGTAAGCACTAAACAGAGGTACGGTAAACCTTGAGAACAAAGACAACTGAACTGACATGCGCGATGCTATACGTGATGAAAGAAAACAAATATCAATTCAATGTCTTCAAAATAGGTACGGAAAGAGACAGCTGAAAACTTGGGGTAAAGGGAGACTCGTTCACAGGCGATCAGCGTCCCACCCAAACCCAAGCGACAAACCGGCTGTGTTCGCTATCAACCCCTGAAACCGATCACTGAAGAGACTGCACCTGCACATGCACATTGGCTGACTGTCACTGCGGACAGCGCCTCCTCACTATGGATGATGGATGCATACCACATTTGGTACACGGGGCGCGTTAACGTGTCGTTGTAGTTCAAGAGCTGAATGCGAGAATTGGCGACTGACAAGAGCTTTATAGTCAACGATACGTGCGAACGAGACTAAATAAGTTCTTGTGAGCTCTGGGATATCAGTGTTCTTATATCGTGATTCGACATTCATCTTCTCCAAGATCGAGATGAATTTGCTCCACCTGCCATAAACTCGATTTCCTTCTTATATAGTATGTTCAGCGCACTTTGTATTGATCAAAAGGAAACCGATTCTCAACCCAACATCTATTGGAAGAAGAAGGTTCAAGTGGCGCATTTCTGATACAAAAGATCCATATACAGTTGGTTCAATAGTACCTCCTGAAGGAGGCGCTTACAGGACAGCTGAATATGCATGGTACGGGGGAATTGGAGCCTGAGGCATCCAGTGGTCTAGAATATGAATATCAAATGGGTCAAAGACAATTGATATGAACTCATCATCTACTAGAGACTCACATGAGGTTGTCCGCCATTCCGTTGAAGTGATGGACCTGTTGATTGGCTGTCTCGATATCTGAGATGCTTCTCCTTCTCTGTTCACTGCCGATTATCCTCCGTACTGTATCTTCGCAGCAGATTTGAGAGAAGGGGGGGAATACGCACCGTCCAATCAAGTCAATACAGGCGATTTTGTTGGTTTGTTGATTTGTGTATGGTACATCAGTCTTTTCAGAGGTTGTCTAGGTATGCATCTTTGATGCCCATCTCCGATGTCACTGCCTCATCATCAAAGGATGAGTGCAACCTAAGAGCTGTGCCTCTGCGCACAAAGATCTGCAAAAGGCAATAAGATGTATGTTACCGTTTCATTCTTCATGCATTCGCTGGTGAGGAATATTCACATGCTCGTCCATAATAAAATATTCCATTATTATGCGTGGGAACATTTACCGATGAATTGGTTGTCCCGGCTGTTCGCCTAGGTACCAAGAAGATATGTGAAATCTTTACGCCCACGCCTTCAACTGCACAGATACAGTAACTCTGGTTTATCAGTCTTGGAGGACGTAATCGTTACTAATTAATATTGCGTGTTGGCTGGGGTTATCCACTATGCAACTGTTTCTCAAAGAATTCTTTGTCCTTGTGTGGTGTTTTCCTTGGTAAACTTACGATTGCGTATAATCAGCCAACCACTGGTTTTAAAGATATGCTGTGCAACCCTTAGACTACCTGGGTACCTTGTCATCCTGGTTGCCATGTTGGGTTGTACTCGCTACCGAGGCGAGATCTGCTACCTATTCTTAGGTTACTGATTACATATTCATCCGTGAAGATGCCCCATCAGGGCATGGACAATCAAGTAAACATTCCGATGCCAAGAGCCACAATTTATTACCGATATAACCGTCACCATCGACTATTAGGCACTACTCAAGACAAAACTGAATATTGAGCTGGAATAAATAATGGCTCTGTGCGTGGAATGTGACGACCGAGTTACACGCCCATTCCTGGTGTTGGGTATCCGTAGATAGGTTGGGTTGGGTTGTGTGTTGCTCTGAAACCGCCTGCACCTTGGTCTAGGTAGTCTACAGGGACTGCCGTATGTAGGTTATTAAATTAGGCTGAATCATATTTGGGGTTGCCAACAAATCTTGGCATTTGTCTAGAATCTCATGACATGATCTGATACGATGAAGCTATGCTTAGATAGGAACTGCCCGCCTGCTCTTGTGTTACTTCTAACCAGATAGGATAGCATATTATATTATTTATTCTTTGCATTCTCTCTTACTTTCCAAGTTTGTAAGAAGCTGTTACTAATATCCGAGGCTTCGATAAACGACAGAGGTAGGTGCTTGACGGTAGTGGTTGGGGTTCGATGGATGGACCAGTACTGTCCCTGGTAGACACTCCGGGCATAATCCGGGCCAATGCTAATGACTTGGTCCTCCCTGGTTAAGTGGCTCGCATGCACCTTCCTTACCTCTGTGAATAGACCGGGTTTAATGATCTGAGCTGCAGTGAGCACCTGCTCGAGACGCCGCCGGACTGTTAGGACCTCCATAGGTTGCCCTGCTCTGTACGTGCTCTGGGCTACCTGCGCGCTGCGCTGTCCTGCGTTGCGCTTCCCGCTGCACACTGCACTGCAGAAGGGGCACGGCCCGCTCCTGCCTGTCCAACTCTAAATTATCCTCTTTCCAGTTTCTTTTATCAATATTCAGTAAGGATCTAATATCAGTTCCAAGGAAAGTGCCCACCAAAGAAACAAAAGGGTCCTAACTGTTTAGGTGTGATAACAAGTCTCGTCGGCCCGGTACCTTTCACTGCTACGCTACTGGATCGCTCCGGGCTTCTGCTGCTGCGTGCTGGGCCACTGCGGATACCTGCCCGCTGTAGGTACCCTAGGTACCCAGAGTACAGTCGGGTATGATGGGTAGGTACAGTGCACTGTTACAGCGGCTACGGGCTACGGCTTACGGCTGCACTGCAGCGGAGCGCACAGACAGAGAGAAGAGACCCTGGAAAAACAAAAGGGATTAAGCTCGATAGCCGATGACGAGGCCAAATTCTGCCACCAACCAACCGATTCAGCCCTGCTTCTGGCACGCTTGGCATGATGTGGAAATGGTATGGAAGCTTGTTAGCTTCGTAGATCGCCTGTGGGGGTTGCAGAGACGATGTGGGAACTGGCACGGATAATTTATGTATTGGAAGCTTCACTAACAAGAAGCGGAATTGATCAGCGGAAGCTTCCCATTTTCTGTTTACTCAGGAAGTTTTTAACAATGCCAAGCCCTTTCGGCCGCGAATCATTCAACCTCGGTTTGTTGCCTCGGATAATACTGACACCAAAACTCGAACTGATTGGATTACTTAGTGCTCGGATGGCAACAAGAGTCAGGACGCATCACTTATTCAATGACATACCTAGTTGATGGATATGGATGGATATTATCTGCTTGTAACCAGACTTCACATCATCTTGATTCTCTACCTATACTGTACAGTATGTAACCCATGCTTCAAGACAATTTACGTCATTTGCGACCAGGCTCTAACCTTCAAAATAGGTAATCGCAGCGCAGTAGTAATCATCCTTCGAATGCCTAGTCATATTGGTGAGCGGAAGTCTGCGGCTCCGGTCAACAGGCTTCATCTAAATCATTAAAGTAGCAAGGTATGACTTGTTAGATTCTTCCGTTTATGGTAATTATTTAGACCAAGGAACAATTCTATCGATCTCAAGACTCAAGACTCAGGACCCTCAAAGAGCCAGCCAGGATGGATCCCTCGGAGACATGGAAGTTGCGAGTCAGGGCGAGACACTATCAAACCACACCAGTTAATATCGAGATCCTTTACCGAGCCAAGTCCACGACTCGATCTCTTGCTTCATTTTCGTAATGAGTGGATCAGTATTGATCTAACTAATCTCCGTGGCAAGATTCATGACAATTCAATTCAAGTTAAGCCAGCCCAGAATACAGCCGAGGCGGTCGAAACCGAAACCGAAACCTCTCATGGGAGAAATTACTCACTCTAACCAACTTGGACAAGCTTGCGAGCTAGCATCACATCACATTGCATCTGTCTCTACTGATGAGACTCTACTAGCGGTTTAGTATCTAGGCACAGCTAGTTTACTGTACCTACTGTACCTAGTCAGTGACAAACCATCCGATCCAGGACCGGAACTAGAGGGCTGTAATCTGGAGAGAAAACGTGGCAAGGCTGTCGCTACCGTACAGTACTATACCGTAAATAAGAAAACGTTTTGACGTTGCTTCTAGAATGCGAACTAAAACGATCTTCAGGCATCGTAGATCTAGACCAAGATACCCAGCCATGTTGCATCGAGGATTAACAGGCAGAGCCTGGTCAGTGGAAACGTGCTCAAAACTTGCAACTCCGTACTATCTACGCACGCCTCGTCTCGTTCTCTCGCCTTACTTGACCTGTCCTGACTTGATTGACTTGACTTGACCTGTCCTGGCCTGGTTTCGCCTCATCCACACAAATCCCATCCTAGCACAGTCTCCGCCAACTAATTACGGGCTTGCAGCTGAAGGAGCACGCAAACATGAGACCTGAGCAGTAGTAAAACTTGGTGATTGCTAGTTGATGTGAGTTAACTTGACTAAATTCGAAACTAGCGGCGGCATATGCAGTCATCGTATTTCGTTGTGAAGTAAACGATCCGTCACTCAACGGCCGGGATGGGCTGGACTGGACTGGACTGGACTAACCTTGTCCTGACCTGGATCTGGACCTGGACCTGGCCTCTTCCGACTTTCGGCAAGACCTGGTGTGGTGTGGTTATAGCAAAGAGAGGAGTGTTTAGTAGCAAGATAGTCCAAGATCCTTTGTTCTATATGTAGACCCGCCAAGAAGCATAAGAGTGCATACTCAGTAGAGAAGCGAAGCAGATGCAAGATACCTACAGTACATGTTGTCTCTTTTCTCCGACGGCACCTAGAGCCAGGTTTACCATCGCATAGGAACTCACGACGGAAGCATTAAGCACCATACGCGGACGATCTGATCTGCCGAGAAGCCTGAGGCATCCTCGTGTCAATTATAGCTGCCTAACGTAGCTTTGTCTTTTGCCTGCTGGTCTGTTAGCTTTGGATTCGGTAGCTGTGGTGTTTTTCTTGTACCGTAGGTCTTCAAATCTCCCCTTGGCGGCACACAACTCACCTATGCGATGAAAGTATTTCAGGATGTCAACTCCTATGTATAGGATGGTGGCTTTGAGTCCTCATGTTCAGGCTCTACAGCAAGACGCAACAACAGAAGTTTTGACACTTTTTCCTGTCGAGACGAGAGAAGGGTTATTGACTTACGGCTTACCCAAATCATGCGGGCTGCTATGTGAGGCTCTTTTACGCGATATGGTATACACTACACCCTCAATTTTGTTTTTGTCTTTTCTTTGGTTGTTTTCTAAATGATTCATTGAAAAAGTAAAAAATATTCTATTACTTGGATATATATTAATATTTGCTAGGCCGAGGACCTCCAGATATGGGCAAGGAGTTTCGGGATGGTCGTTAAGGACATTAAAATGCCTGAGATTAGCCCTCAGGCTTTCCGTTTGGAGAAGGGCAACACTTCAACGTTGCTAAAAGGGTATACAGCGCTTGTAGTGGCTCTCGGAAACGCAAGGTACGATGTCGAGCTCATCTCAAGAGACAGGACGTCTTCGCTGCAGGAGACATGGGAATCATCCTTCGCTCTTCACCTCCGAGAGACAGGGCTGAAAGCTCAGGGAGGGCACATTAGGTTTCTTTATATCCCCCTCCATCTGGAGCCAGAATAGACTGCGTTTCCAGCCACGACTCCTATTTCATGATGTGTATCATGTCATGTTCCGTATCCGCACTATAGCTGATGCTCCATTTGATGCTTTCCGGGCTGCCTGTCGATCTTGTCGTTGATGGTCTCATACTCGTCTTCGACTTAGACCTCGATTTCGCCTTCGCCTTCGCTTTCGCCTGACCCGGCTCCAGGGCCCTTTCTATCTGTTCTAAACTGTTCATTGTGTCAGTTCGAGAGCTTCTATAGTAATATAACCACGCTGTTTACCTAACTTTCCCGTCACAAACATCGTAAACGAGATTTGGGATTCTGAGGGCCTCTGAGGGCAGATTGTTTCTCGGGCGATGGGCAACCGCAGATTCCCTGCGCAGTATGTCGAAGCATTCGGCGGTAAAATGTTGACCAAAGGTGAAATAGGCGCTCACTAGATAGCATGGTAAGGAAAAAGGGCCTTGCTTCGATTCGGGGGCATGAAAGCTTACCTCTTAATGGGAGCTCGTATGCCCGTGGCCCTAATACTTCAGCGAGCTCGTCTCCAATCTGTACACATTTTGGCAATGCGAATCGCTTGGATCTAAGTGTATCACTCCCTCCACTAACGCATTTTGCCATGGCTGTCATAACCTCGTCCGTCGTTAAACCTTGGCTATGAGCAACGTGACATAACGCGACCATGACCATGCAATGTGTCTGAGTCTCTCTTCCTGGTTCAAATCCAGACGAGGCAGCGGCGTAAGCATCGAGGAGAGTGTGCCAGTCCATATTTCTGCGTGACCCAACGTGAGAGATTGTTAAACGAGCATGCAACTGTGAAATGTCTTCCGGTGTTGAAGGTCTGTTGTTATCCCAGTCCTCGTCTCCTTGGGGCAACTTGGCCATCCACGCCCTAACCCATCTTATTTGGTCATTCAGGCCTCTCCGTCGAACAGGCTTCTGTGGAACTGGTTTTCCGGGGTTTTCAGTAATAAACTCGGCGGCGGCGAAAGTTGAAGACTGTGGAGTGTTCATGATGTACGGAAATACAACAAGACTTCTAGGTCTGGGTTCGGATAATAAGGGATCCATTTATGCCATGAAGAACCCAAGTTGGGTTCTCCAACTGTCAGACAGAGGGTTGGGTAATCTATATGGGGGGCTTCAAGTCGGCAGCCGATTGAGCCGCCGAATTTTTGGTACCTGAGCCAGGAAGATTGCCTCCGCCAGGGTTCACTTCTGTGCATTTGAGCCACACCTCGTTTTACTTCACGCCCTCCAAGGAGGGCGGACGGGGTCTATCGGCATACATCAGGAGCGCAGGTGTGGAAAGCTGAGTCTGCGCTCACCTTTGCAGGGTCCGTCAATAAAGAGCCGGAAGCTATTGTGTCATTGTCAGTTATAGGTGACAGTGGCGTATTGGGCCCATTAATGGGGTGTAGAGCCAAGCTAATCGAATCGTCCAATGCCACATACTTTTTTCAGCCTTGTAATAAAATCATTCCATCCCTTAAAGAGCTTGGGATGAGGGACACCGGACACTTAAGAATGCGGAAGCGGATGCGATGTGAACCTGTTTCTGATTTGCATAAACTCGTCTCCCGAATTGAACCAAATCAAATCAGCAAATACGATTCCCCCTCACCAAGCTTGCTGCCACTCTGCAGGTATGCTGCTGGACCAGGATCTTCATTGGCTGCAAGTCCGCTAGACCGGGGATGATTCCATGATTGCAAAGAATTTTTCTCCTAGTGAATCTCCAACGGGCCTTGGCTGGAGCTGGACCATCAGTCGATAGCGCAATGCGCCAGGCCCAGCCTACCAGCGATAAGGGAGAAGTGACAAAAGCAAGTCGCAAGCTTGCACTGTATCCGTACCTCGATGGAGACGTGTTCTGCCGGAGCAAGGGGAGCCATTGTCCCGCCGCCTTCTCTCAGTTCCAAAAAGTCGGGCTAGCGAATGGTAGCAGGCCGGATTTAACCCCTAGATCTGCGGTGAGGAACGCTTGTGGCCGGACCAGGCCAGGGCCTTTGGGTTGGAGCACTAGCGTCAAGGAAAGACATGCAGTCGTGCAGACGCGGAAAGGTCCAGAGGGCTTGTTTCAACGGCCTGACAAGAGGTGCGGCTGTAGCTCGACTTGGATTCTAGCGCCGTAGATCAATCTCCCAGCCCTTGCCATGTTTGTTTGCATCTTTTTTGATCCTGTTATTGACTTGAGATAGGATCATGTAGGTAGAGTAGGCGAAGAACAGGTCGGAATGCCCCGAGCGTCGGCAAACCTGTCAGTTTGTTTGCCATATTGGCATGTCGTTATGTCGTTTAGGACCTTTTTGACGTTGCCAAGCGCTGATCGTTCAACAGACCAACAGGACAGGGACCAAGCATGGCTCCAAAAAGCAACGTGGGAATAGCATGGAGACAGTAAGGTGATGGGTGGTAAGGTGGGCGAGTGGGTCCAACTGTGAGGCGCTCAGATACATGTGGACCTTTTCGGAATTATCTTAGCCGCGCGCCTTATGTCAGCTATGTGGCTGTTGCGATCTGTGGCGGTGATCGTGGCGGCATGATTCGGTGAGATAAGATAAAACTTCTTCAGATAAGATAAGAACTGACATTTATCGGTAGAAGTTGCATAACACCCCTGAAAAAAAGAATGTGGATCCGTCTGTGTTAATCTCAGCTACAGTAGAGGACAGCTTGGACTGTCGCAAGACCTCATGAACTTTGTCTTGCAATCCTTCCTTTGATACTCTTGTACAATATTTCTATATCATCTTCTGAGCACTTTTGCCTACTCTGACTCCTTTGTGATCTTCGCTCGATGGCGATTCGTGACAATGGACGGTGATCCGGCTGTCGATCCAGGGCTTGACTCTTTCAGCTTGGCTTTCCCTTTACCTTACCGTGTCGGCTTTATCGCAACGTTAGGTGAGCCTGGAAACCTTATTCCAAACGTCTTATCCATTGCTAACTGTCAGGAAGCTGTTTGGGGCTGGGGATTGAACCTTCACTGCCTTTATTCATTCAACGTCGACGTTCCTCAGCTAATTCGATATCCTGGACGAGCCTCGCCGCAACACATACCGCACCATGGCTCAACGTACCGCCTGGCGATTGTCCTCTCGACATTGTTCGCATTCTCGATATCTCTCTTCTGGTTGTGTACATGGGGTATACCTGAGCGTGTGATTGCGTTTGGCTGGATGCCGTTGGCATACCTCACAGCTCTAATTGCGATGTTCGTGGTTCCTCTAAGAAACCTTCCTAGTGGTGGAAGAAGACGGTTTTTGGCTACACTGCGGCGTGTGAGCATAGGTGGACTTGCTGAACCTCAAGATGGAAAATTTGGAGACATCCTACTGGCTGATGTTCTCACTTCATACGCCAAGGTCTTTGGGGACCTCTTCATTACTCTATGCATGTTCTTCACGGCTCAAGGGTCCTCTACGCAACGTCCTGACCGCAACTGCGGTGGGATAGTTCTCGTCCCTTTTATCATGGGAGTGCCAAGTTTGATACGATTTCGCCAGTGTTTGATCGAGTATTTTCGTGTTCGACGAGCTCCGTACAAAGAGTCCACAGGATGGGGAGGCCAGCATCTGGCTAACGCGCTGAAGTATTCGACGGCATTCCCCGTTCTCATCACCAGTGCTTGGCAAAGATCAGTTGAGGATCCCGAATCCAAAGCAGCCCTCCACAAGGCCTGGCTTGTTGCTGTGCTCATCAATTCTCTCTACTCTTTCTACTGGGACGTGGCCAAGGATTGGGATATGACTCTCTTCTCCTCGAGACAAGACCGCGAATCCCCTACTCATCCATTTGGACTGCGAGATCGGTTGGTCTTTCGGAACCCCAATCTCTACTACCTCGTTATTGGCATGGACTTGATGTTGAGATGCACATGGTCAATGAAGCTTAGCAGCCGTCTAGATAAGTTCAGCGATCTGGAAGGAGGCATCTTCCTCATCGAGTTCCTTGAGGTATTCCGTCGCTGGGTGTGGATATTCCTCCGTGTTGAGACAGAATGGTTGAGGAACAACTCCACAGGCCTTGGAGTCGACGATATCTTACTTGGAAACTATCAGGGCAAGGATGATGAAGACGATTAATGGCTTCATGGAGAATTTTTGTGAGAGAACAACAACTAGACGAGGGGCTTTTTTCAGGCGTCTGGGCAGTTTTGTATAGAGCTACGACTTTCAATGATATGTTGAATAACGACTTCCGACCATACACAGACCAAAACGGGACCACTTTGTATTATGTTCTTGCTATCTATTACGACAACATTCCGACCAGAGAGGCCTTATGGTCACGTTGGTGCACAGGCGTTCTACCTTGCAAAGGTTTTGTCAGCAAAGGCTTGAGATGCTACGAGGTCATTCATTCCCGGTAATCGGGAAACCTTACAGCATCATGGCAATGTCCTGACGATCTTACTGCCACAAGCCAAATGGGTAGTCCCGCGTCTATTGATGACAGCCTTGCCCGTCCCGGACGAAGCTTTTGGTCTAAGCACTAAATAGGCCATGCCAAGTCCAAGTTGGTTCAACGAACAAGCAAGATGCGGAAAAGACGATGTCTTGGGGAATCCAGAACATTGCGGTGAGTTGTGAAAGAGCTGACCTTGAAGATGATGGCGTTATGTTATTTACCTCGTGCCCGGTGTTGATCTTTGGACGATCATTGTATCTGTGGCAGTTGGACCACCAAAAGCAGTAGCTACCTTAGGACCTAAGGTGGTTTATCTTGGTGTATAGCAGTCTAACAGTGGCCGCATGGTTTTACAATTATGATGCTTACTGGCATTTGTCTGTGCAGGCAGTTCAGCTCGCCACGTCCAGATGCAGAAGATGTTTTGAGATGTCCATCTATTTATCCATCCTCAATTGTTTGTGAGCAACAGACTTTTGCGTTTTCCTTTGTGAACAATTCGCGAGGCGCGGGCGGTCTGTCTTCGCCGACCAAGACTGGAATGCTACAAAGGGTTTTGGCCAATATCCATGGACATGTGTCGCCCAGCTCAGTGAGCCTAGACTCAAGCCTCCCGCCACAACCCGCTAAGTGCCAGGTGACTCCGGATGAAAATGGATCGATGCTGAGATGCCATAGGCTTGGTCGCAAGGCCGAACTGAGACGGCTCAAACTCACAATTGCCTGGAGACACTCATAAGATGGTGTTGGGCACTTGAGTCCATGTTGGACGAGGGATTTCCTCTATCCTCCTTTGACCATTCGACCCTTACAGCTTTACTTGCAACTCCAGAGCTACCGCCAACTTGACGATATCGATCTCGCACTTTCACGGGTAGTTTGCCGGAGCGGGGTCATCGCAACCAAGCCAACTCATCACCAAGATTCAAGAAACCGTGCGCTTTGATAAGGTTCGATTGGAAATTCAGCTGCTAGTTGTGGAATCGCACCGGCACCGCAAGGTTGCAAGCCGATAAAACATTCATGATACATGCCGGACCCCAACTTCTGCCACATCGGCTTGATCGAATCACAACACAAGACAACAACGGAATTTCCGATCAGAGCATACTGCCAGTCAGTATGACAAGTTATGCACGACCAATAAGCAGTATAGAACTCGTACTGCCACCACAGAATGCATATCTCTACCGCAACAAGCCTTTGCCTCTGCCTCCAACAATACCATCAAGACAGTCATCAAAAGCAAAACCAGCTGCAAGATTCAGTGCCTTCCCGAAAACCTCGGGGCCAGGAAACGATCCCAAGGCATTGCCTCAACAGCCTCCTGTGGTAGTCCCGAAAGCGTTGACAAGACAGCGCGCATCACGGATGAGCATATCAGGTGCTACATCTTTGCGTGAAAGGCGATCTTCTCAAAAGATTCAGCAAATTACCGGTCACGACATCGGTCCTGGTATCGACTGGACATCTCCTACAACTCATGCTCCCTATTCACCTTCCATCTCGCCCAAATCCATCCGAGACGATTCATCCAGTGGCTACAGCATCTCGCTAGACGAGCCTATATTCGACGATGAGCCTACACCACTTGCGAGTTACCAACCGAGATCTTCCGACAGCAGTATGCCTCCGCTAGAGCCGGATTGTGATAGTGTACTGAGCAATCAGAGCTATGGAGCCCCAGAGTCACCGACAACTCATAGAGGATCTATCTCATTACAGGTGGAAAAGACGAGACGCCTGAGTAGCATAGCCTCTACGCTGGCTGCATTAGACCCTCCCCCAAACCTGGACAACCCATTTGACGAAGATGTCAACTGGCAAGCAGGTTCTTCTTATAACTATTTTAGCGACCTTGAGACGGCAGATGAGTATCATCGAATCGCGACTAGACTGGCCAACAACGACAAACGCCAGTCAGTATGTGGAACCTCACCCCTTACTCGATCTCGCAGTTCGCTCAGTCGACGACTTAGTGTGTCAGCGCGGTCACTATTTACACGAAAAAGGGATCCGGCTCTGTCTGCCAGCTCCAGCCGAGCGTCTCTGACTGCCGTCAATCATCCTACTAAGGGGCCTTATTCGCCCTCGATTCCTCCCTCGTCAGATGCTGCCAGCGTGATATCTCCCCCTCGAAGTACGTTCGAGATTGATGATGATGAAGAACTCGATGGTGACGATGGCAGTGTGCAAGGTGTTCTTAAGGACTTCTTCGCACGCAGGAGCGAGGAACATTCATCGGTTGAGCTGGGAACAACTCGTTCGATGCCCCAAGTTCCAGAGCAGTCGCAAGAACACAAAACTCTTTCAATGTCAGGGGTACAGGTCAAAGACTTACTTACGAGTGCGCGTGACGGCGCGAGGTTGATTCAGGTTGCCAGAGGTGAGAGGAGAAGAACACAACTTAGGCATCAGATCAAGGTGATTCCGGAGGAGGAAGTTGGACGATGAATGATGAGCATGACCCGGGTTGAAAGAGGCATTGCTTGATATTGGATTTAGCGTGGCGTCATGTTAAGAGATTCCCATAAAATGTTTTGGTTATACAGTCACTTAGATATAATTCCATCGGATCTCATTGAAAGGAGTGCAAAGTTCTGTTTAACAGATCTTGTATTAAGAAATGTTTTACTTTCAAGACAAAAGTACTCACTCTTGTAACTGTTTCATTCTGTTGAATAAAAAGATTAGATCTAATCTATACATATCAATGTCTCTGTGCTACCCTCCAGAACCTGGTTCCCAGCTTCCAGCTTCTACGGCTCATTCCTCCGAGACCCACCCCCACAAATCAAGATCCGTCCAGATCCGGAGCCGGAGCCGCTTCGAGGCCGAGGCATCTAAGATCTCCATTTCCATCTCCATTTCAAGGCTCAACTTTTAGACTATTGCAACCTAATATTTAATCAAAAGGAAACAAACCCCGAAAAGAAAAAGAGACGAGAAACTTTACCTGAGGAACAAGCTGGGGCGTTGATCTTGTTCTCTCAAGGTGATTAAAGTTTCTGCATTGCTGATCACCCACCACCATGATCCACGATACAGGGGCCTCAATCAGTAACGAGCCCTCTAGAGATACAGAGTCTGAGCGGGAGACAGAGACAGAGACAGAGACTGCAAGCCACAGCATCACCGACGCCGACGTTGTTGAGGCGCTACAGAAGGGTATTCTTGAAGCTGCGAGGGATAACGTTAAGGAGGAACTGATCAACGAGGGAGAGGCGTCGCTGTATTATGACTCTTTGACCATGTCGCCTTTGAACGCAATGTCCGCTGTGAGTGTTCTTTCCGCATTTATCATCCTATTCTTCATATCCCTTTGCTGCGTTGCGTTGCGTTGTCTTCTGTTTCATTCCAATGCGTCTGCTATCCGATTCTTCTCATGTATACTGCAGATTGCTAACCAGTATCATATCTCGCAAGGCCGCTATTGCTCGCTTCCGCGCCTACAAACCTCCAGCATTCCCGCTATGGGACCGTCTTCCGGTCCGGAGACGGGCTGCTGTTTTAATACTGCTGTATGCTGACCGACGCGGTGACCTGCGTGTTGTTATCACCATGCGTGCCGCAAGTCTGAGGAATTTCTCTGGTCATGCCGCCTTTCCTGGAGGCAAGGCGGATGACGCCCAAGAGACACCATGTAAGACATTTTGCCAAGAATCAATACCCTTTACTAATAGCATTGCACAGTCCAGATCGCACGCAGAGAGGCTTGGGAAGAGATTGGGCTACCCATGGACGATTCCAAGCTCCCTAAGCCATTCCGTGTAGAGCATCTGTGCTATCTGCCACCTTCTCTGGCTCGGACTCATCTCGTGGTGAGACCATGTGTTGCTTTTCTACATGCCGACCAGCGAACAGCAGGAGAACCTGCTCCTACTGTGGATGAGACTATGATCCCCAGGCTGGACGCACGCGAAGTCGCAGCTGTCTTCAGCGCACCTTTCTACAATTTCCTCCAGGCAAATGACCTCCCTCCCGGGCCTGGCGAGGTACTTCCTGAAGGTCGATGGTACGATGGATTTTGGCATTCATGGAAAGACCATCGATGGCGAGTGCACAACTTTTATGTTCCCGTTAACAATCAGAGTATTTCCAAACCTCGAAAGGACAGCGAACAAAGCCAACTGGTTGAGAAGTTAGAGAAGGAAGAAGAGCCTGACGGTAGATTCAAGGTCTGGGGTATGACTGCGCGTATTCTAGTGGATGCGGCAAGAATTGCATATGCGCAAGAGCCTGGATTTGAGCATAACGACAGCATTGGCGACGAGGATATCATTGCACATGCGGATAGTTTGGGGGAGCTTGGGGAGAAGGTTCAGGATAAGCCGCAGGAAAAGAAGACTGAGTCTGGTGAGGCCGCCAAGATGTAGCATTGCTTGCATAGATAGAGAGCATGATTGATGATTCATTAGAGTATTGATGTTGAACTCGTTGACAGTCTTGAGAATTAACACTAGATCTTGCAATCCCTAGCTTCACACCGGTTAAGCCTGAGACAATAGAGTTGTGGCGGCTGTACTCTAGCTACAGCAGCAGGCCAAGCACATATGACCAGTTCATGTTGAGCTACCTAAGCTCTCCTTGCTTATCCTAGCCTATCTTGAAATCATCTTGCGTTGATTTCAAGCCAAACGTTTGCTCTTTGACTTTTCGCCTGGATGCTGAGATAGGTACGTAGCTACTTCAAAGAGAATTTGAGTCGTTCCAACGGCAACGCCGCACCACATGTGGCCTTTCCGCAACCGTTGCCTTACAAGGTTTAACTCTTTAATGACATGCGTTCTCCTTTGTGGCAGAGGTTTTTTGTCCAAAGAACAGATATCCGAGAAATGCACCAAGTGAAACGGAGATCATGACCCAACCATTGTATGTCATGAAGACAAGCCTGTCTTTGTTAGACTCGCCGCTCTTCCCCAAGATGGGATTATAAGGAACTTACATAAGCATAAAGGCGTAAAAGTTCTGTAGGGCATACAAGATGGCCTTGATGAGGTGGGCGCGTTGGTCGGCTTGTTCCTGGGATTGCCCTGACAGGATGGGAGTCGATTCAGTAACAGGACCATCAAGACCTCACGGCAAGACTTAGCAACGGTGCGATTTTGGAGACTATCCCCCAGACAATTTTCAGACAAGGCAAGAGGATATAGCGCAACATTCTGTTCTCTTTTGTCTTGGGGTTTCGTATGTGTAATGGCCGTGCAGAGGATGGGGGCAAAGAGACGGGAGCTTACTGGGGGCAGCGCGGACGCGGTTATCGAGAGCTTGTTCGTAGCGGCGGGAGAGAGATCGGAGGGCTTCGTAGCCCATGGCGAGGAGGATGACGGCGACGAGGGAGAAGAGGAGCGAGGTTGTTGATCGGACGTGCCATTGACGGAAGACGATGCAGAGGTTGGTAGTATCCCAGGTGAAGAGCATCTGAATAGCATCAGTATCTGTCCTTTTGCGAGGGATATGGGTTGCATACGTTCATACTGCACATGTCCTTCATGCCTCCGTGGCCGTGATCCATACCACCGTGGTCCATACTGCTGTGATCCATGTGTGCGTGATCCATTGCGAATATATTGATTGTATCGATGTCAACGGTAAGAGATGTTGAAAAGTATATAAAGTCGGTCGAGTATCGAAACGAGCTCAAACTTGCGCAACGTCAGACGGACTCGTTAGAGGTCAGTCGATAGCGAGGGAGCACCAAACGTTAGCTGTCGCATGGGTGGAAGGAATGACGCGACAGTAGGTACTTGATGATGTACTGTGAAATTGGTGATGAGGCATGTACCTGGTGTTTTAGCTCCCATTTCAGTGGGAGGGGTCGAGGACCCTGTCTGTTCTACGGCGCCTACAGCGGGGAGCTACTGAATAGGTCTGCTGCCCATACTTGTGTAAAACTATCATAGTAGTATTAACTACCTAGTACTAAGAATTTCATGTATGGAGGTGATGATATAATAGATTCTCTATATATTCTCTGCATATAGTAAAAGATTGGGTTATCTAAGAAAGGACGTCGCAGCCTCTCCCGTGACATCCGCAACTCACTTACAAATTATCCGCCCCTCAATTCATATCCATTAACCTTAACTTCAATCACAACTCTTTCTCTTCTCTCACTCCATTTAGGTACTCAGATATATCCGCAAAGACGGGAGTTCAAGACAATATCCAAAATGCTTGCGCCTCCTGTGAATCTGCCCAAGTGGTGAGTCAACTACTAGACTGAATCTAGACATGAAGATTGAAACAACTAACCAATTCGTATGAGCAATAGGCTTGAAGAGAACTCTCATCTTCTACAACCGCCCATTAACAACTACTGCGTCTATAATGAAGATTTCAGTGTCATGGTTAATTCACCTTCACTTGATGGCTTGAATGCAGCTAATCATGTCCAGATCGTTGGTGGCCCTAACGCTCGTACTGACTACCACATCAACCAAACCCCAGAATGGTTCTACCAATACAAAGGCGCAATGATGCTCAAAGTCGTCGACGATGGTAAATTCCGCGATATAGTCATCCGTGAAGGCGACATGTTTCTCCTTCCTGGCAACACCCCTCACAATCCTGTCCGCTTCGCAAACACCGTTGGGGTAGTCCTCGAGCAGCGTCGTCCCAAGGATTCACTCGATCGAATGCGCTGGTACTGTTCTGACTGCGGTGAGGTTGTTCATGAGGCTGCATTCCACTGTACAGACTTGGGAACCCAGATCAAGGCGGCTGTGGAGGACTTTAAGGCTAGCGACGAAAAGAGGACTTGTTCCAAGTGTGGTACGCTTGCTGATGTTGCGCCGAAGCCGGGGAGTATTCAGGATCCCAACTTGGGGTGATAACCTAGAGTCTACATCGTTATCTCATGTGTATCAAGACAGGTCAAAAGGCGTATGGGTGGGTGGTGTTGGTGGTGTTGTCCTAGCAGGGGAGGCATAAACATACCGTCAGTGTATTAGAATAGCTGAACATTGAGTCTAAGGGATGAAATTAGACTCTTCACGGCTGTTTAGGCTAGAATTTAGGTTATCTATTTGAACACTATAAACTAAGTAACAGATGCTGCCTTTCATATTATGATATTGGATTTTGAATACTTCACATTTTTAAAGCCCTTACAGTACATCTAAGTCTCGGAGAAGGAGTAAGAACTGGTAGACTCCTCAACAGGAATCTCAATAGCACCCTCCTCTACCTCCTTTCCGTCAATCCTCAAACCAGCGCGCACAACATCACCAGGCGCAGCAGGGCCAACACCAGCAGGTGTACCAGTGAGGACGATATCACCAGGGTGAAGAGTCATGACCTTTGAGATGTCGCTCAGGATACGAGGGATCTGGTAGATCATGAGGTTGGTCGAGCCCTGCTGCTTGGTCTCGCCGTTAAGCTGAAGGAAGAGCTCAACATTGTGAGGGTCCTTGATGGCTGTCTTGGGGATGATGTTGCTCATGGGCAGGAAAGTATCGAAGCCCTTTGCGATTGACCATGGGAGACCCTTCTTCTTGGCCTCGTTCTGGGCATTGCGGGCGGTAAAGTCAATGGCGACAGCGTAAGCTATAGAATGGATGTCAACGTTTCGTTGTTTCTGACAAGGACAGGATATCGCGCACCTTTGACGGCGTCCATGGCGCCCTGAGCATCAGAGGCTTGGAGATCTCGAGTCAGCTTGCCGATGATGAGTGCCAGCTCGACTTCATAGTGCATCTCAATGCCCTTGGGCCTCTGAACAGCTCCCTCGCCAGGAAGGACAATAGATGAGGTAGGCTTGAGGAAGAAGAAGGGCTGCTTGGGCTTGGCGCTGTTAAGCTCAGCAATATGCTCCCTAAGAAACAGATTTTAGTATATGCCATAGCGATTGAGTACATCTAGGGACATACGCAAAGTTGCGGCCAATACAAATGACCTTTCCAGCTTGCTTAAGGCTTGTTGAAGCTTGAGGGGCCATGTTGGCCATTGTACGTCTGAGAGCAAACATGATCGCGATTATCCTGATGAGAAACAATTAAACAAGAAATAATAAACAGAAAAGAAGATCGTCTTTCTTGAATTGATGCTGAAGTAGTCAATGGTTGAGCTTCAGTTTGAATACCTTGAGTAGGTAGCGTCGGACACATGCTCCGATACAAAGTTTCGGAGATTGAGTCCCGAAAGGTAGAGCAAATGCTCCAGGGTAAGTTACTTTCGGTGATAGAATTAGAAGCCATCGCCGACTTCGCAGTAGAGTAGTCTCTCAAACAATGTCACTGTTTAGAAGCATCCGTGGATTCGTACATATAATGACTTTGTTTCTTATCCCATGTTTATTCAAAGTGTCTCTTATTCTTTACTGCCGATTATGTTTGCGTCTCGAGTCAAAGAAACTTGATGGCATAACCCAAATCTGACCGTTCTGCAGTACAGATTCCGCCTCGATAGGCGTGAGCACCAAGAAACGGACAGGGCTATTTTCAGTTGAATCAGAGTACGAGAAACTCCCAGCAAGCTATTGTAAAACGTTTCTTTTGAATTTTTGACGTTATGGAAAATTGGTAACAGCGGGGATATAGTACCTGAAAATCTATGCTTTTTGCCCTTCTCTACATGAAATCTCAAATCCTGCCTCTTTACATTAAGCAATGTGAACAAATGTCCTCTTCTTAGCACTCCTAGCGTCGTTCTCCTCCTCCCAGTTCTCATCAACGTAGTCCTTGATACTCTTGTCACGAATCTGCATGCCGACAACCTTGAGAGCAGCAATATTGACTCCCATCTCGTCCTTCTGGCGCTTGAGAGAAGCGCGAAGGTTGGTGCGGATACCGTCGAGCATGACCTTCATGGTGCGGTTTGCAACAATCTGCTTGTGATGCGTCTTGAGCATGAAGAACAGAATGCGGCACGTCAGGGGCATGTTCATGGAACGCATGGCAAAGATGTTGAGGAAAGTGAATAGGATGGGAACGGAAGCGAAGGGTAAGACAAGGAGAGCGTCGTGAAGTGCGGATGCTTTGATCTTCTGCAGAACAGATAGAACGTAGGCTTCGGCAGTGACGTTGCCGAGGGCGAGGAAGACTGGGTTGCGCTGAGGGGGCTGGGCATGCGGATCTGTAAGTTTGGCTTCCTCGTACTCCCTGAGGAGGTTCAAGTCAGCCATACCCATCTCGAGTGCCTCTGCTATCCGTTCACCAGCCATGAGGGTTTCTGTAGTCTGTTTACTCGCTGCATCAACCTCGTTGTTCTCATCCTGTGCATCCGCGTCGCGTTCCAGGGATGTGGTAAGGGTACTCTCATACAACTCCTCCATCTCCTTCTCGCGCTCTTCCTCAAGGAAGATCTGCTCATCGGTCTCATCCCAGACCCGAATGCTCTTGTCGTGGCCGGCACTGACCAAAAGATTTCCGCTGTGCGATACAGCAATAGCCCACACTTCTCCGTGGTGACCATCAAGTCTTTGAATCTGCTCAAACTTGTCACCATCCCAGTATCGGATTGTGCGGTCCTTGCTGCTACTGAAGAAATGGTGGCCGTTGCCATCGTTGTTGTGCGGCACAAAGGCAACCTGCAGAATACTGTCCTTGTGGCCATACAGGGCTTTGTGACAATCACCGAAATCGAGACCCCATATCCTGATGTTCTTGTCGGCCGAACTTGTGACAATCATCTTGCTGTCACATGAGATATCCATGCTAAGGACGGGGAGTTTATGGCCGTAAAGGTTGAGGTAGAGTTTGAGGGAATCGACAAAGAAGACCTTGACGGTGCTGTCGAAGAGGGCAACAGCCAGGAGCTTTGCATCCGGTGAGAACTTCAGGCTGAGAATATCGTGGGAAACCTTTAGTGTCCTTGAGTGCACCAGCTTGAGCTTGGGCGTCGTTCTCCTTGTACCGAGAACCTCTTCCTGAACAATCTTGAAATCCCAAAACTTGGCAGTCTGGTCAGCACTACCGGAAACCACAGACTGGCCATCGGGGTGAACGCTCAGCGACCAGATAGCTTTCTCGTGAGCATCGACGCTGTCGAGAAGGGCAGCTGATGCCACATCGAAAAGTTGCAACTCGCCGTTCTTGGTACCAACAACCACGACCTTGTCTCCAGGAAGGAAAGCACAGCACAGAGCGTAACCACACTCGAATGTTCGAATGCAATTCTGAGTCTTGATATTCCAGATCTTCAGGTTACCGTTGGAGGCAGAAGCCAGCATCTTGTCGTCCGAGCTAAGCGAAAGGGCTCGAATATCTGTTCGGTGACCGGGCAACTCGACGGATAAAGCTCTTGTGTATTCAGGGGCATCCTCCTTCTTCGATTTATCACTCTTGTCCTTGCGCGAAACGCTGTAGTACTCGAGCAGGTTGTTTGTGGTTCCTACTAGCAGGTGAAGCTCTTTCTGTCCGCTTGGAACGGCCCAGTCAACCGAGCGAACCCTTCCTCCAGTTCGAACAATGACATGTTGGATGAACACATCGCTGATATCGGCCTTTGAGACGTCCTCTTCACCGTTGGCTTCCTCTTCAGTCGCCTTACCATCCTTCGCCTTCTCACGACGTCTTCTTCGCTTACGGGCCAGTGCCTTTTTTATTTCGGCCTCGGATCGCAGACGCCACACGTCGACCGCTTTTTCTGAACCATGAACGGCAAAGTAGTCTTTCTTGGGGTGAAATACAACTTCGGTTGCCTTATCCTTGCTTTGTCGATGTAATGTTCCACGGTCCTGGAGATATTGGGCTGCAGCAGGTGTGTCGACCTGGCGGGCGCTGAGCGCAAGACCATCGGTGTCCAATGACCAAACCTTGATTTCGCCATCGTTTCCAGCTGTGACACATCCGCTGTAATCTGGCGAAAGACCCAGAGCCCAGCACTCGCCGTTGGTTTGCGAAATGTGGGTTTCTATGCAGTGCCTTGACGAAAGATCCCAGAGTTTAATGAGCGAGTCTTTGCCAGTTGTCAAGAGGAAGCCTTCGTGGGTAGATTCACCATCGACAACCATGGCCTGCGCACCATCCTCATCCTGAACCTGGGCGACTGGCTCAACAAACTGCAAGCCAGTAATCTGATCCTTGTGTCCTCGCAACTTGAATTGACCAACTTCTGCCACAAGATCCCACATGATGATGTCTGTGTCCCGAGAACCACTGGCAAGTCTGCAGCCGGACTTGTCGAATACGAGTTTTGTAATTGCTGACTTATGTCCGTTGAAGTTGAGGACAACAGAAGCAATCTTGCTATCCCAGAGTCGAATGCTACCATCTTCATATCCAACGGCGAAGACGTCCTTGTCGGCTTTGCTTTGCGCGATCGCAGTCACTGGCACCGTGCATCGTTCATCTCTCCAGCGGCTCAGGAGTTCGCCCTTCTTGATATCCCAGCAAAGAACCTCCTCGTTCGCGGCGACGATCGCCTGTCCTGCGCCAGTTCCTGTTCGGTCTTTGGAAGACCATACAAGGTTCGAAGTCGCCGAGGCGACGACGCCAAAGGACTTGCCATGCTCGTATTTTCTGTTCAAGAAACAATTAGATTGAGTCGCTTACTTTCTTGTATCAACTTACAAGTATGACTTGACCATATTTGCGCGGTTGCGACCAGAATTGGCCCTTCTTTAATTTTGTCTCTAACAAAAAGATCCCAGAATCTTTCTTTACATCCGCCGCGGAAAGGTACGAGGTGGGAAATTTTCTTATCGATAAGAGAGCATCCACCTGCTCCACAGCGAAGCTCTTTGTCACGTGTGATGGCTGGGAGCTTGACGCTCACCACGTAAGCCCCACTACCAGGCGTCACCTACTGTACCCGTACTACCTAAGCTCCAGTAACAACGAGAGTAAAGGGGAGCGCATACAACTCAATCAACAAAATGCTTCTGCTAGATTACCAAAACGTACTGATCCAGTCGGTTCTGACTGAGAGGTTCTCTGGGTAAGATTGCGCATATCGAAATGTCTTGAAACGAGAGCTAATGGATCGTACGTCAGAGCCCCTCCCGCTTCCATTGACCAGACGGTCAGCGACTTCGACGGCGTTACGTTCCATATCTCGACTCCCGAGACCAAGACCCAGATCCTCCTATCTATCCAAATACGATGTTTCCCCGATCTTGTCAAGTATGGAGCTGAAGAGGTCCTCCAGCGAGAGTACGGCAACTATGTGACAGCTGTCGAGGCCGGCTATGACTTCTCTGTTATGGTGGACTTGGAGAACCTCCCAGAGTCAAAGGGTAGAGCAACTTGTGGTCTATATGAGTATACCGTCTCCAATGCTAACCATTGACCAGAGGAACGTAATGAGCTGGCTCTCAAATTCGCTCTCCTGAAGCGCAACGCCATGGCCGCCCCATTCGAGCAAGCCTATAAGGAGCACTACGCACTGAAGGAGGAAGCTTCCAAATTCTCTTCCGAAGACGCTCCCCAGGGAGTCCGAGAGGGAGGTGAAGTTAAGGCGATCCATTACCGAGAGGAGGAAGCCATTTATGTAAAGGCCAGCCACGACCGAGTTACCGTCATCTTCAGCACCGTCTTCCGTGAAGAGACCGATCGAGTATTTGGTAAGGTGTTTATTCAGGAGTTCGTCGATGCTCGAAGAAGAGCCATTCAAAACGCTCCTCAAGTCTTGTTCAGGAACGACGCTCCCCTTGAACTGCAGGGCGTCCCAGGAATCCAGAACACTGGATCCGGGGATATCGGCTACGTGACTTTCGGTAAGCGCAAATTCGCCGCGAATATAGACATCAACTAATTGCATCATAGTTCTTTTCCCTCGCCATCTCACTCCTCAGCGCATGACCGATGTTATTTCTCATATTCAGACTTTCCGTGACTATTTCCATTACCATATCAAGGCCTCAAAAGCCTATATCCACTCTCGTATGCGAAAGCGAACTGCCGACTTCCTCCAAGGTAAGCATTGTCCATTGAATCGGTGCAATCGCAGAGCTAACATGTCCAGTGTTGCGCCGTGCCAGGCCCGAGAACGAGGAGAAGGAGAGGAAGACTGCCAGTGGCAGAACCTTCAAGGTGCAAGGAAATTAGATTTTGGTACAACAGGAGAGTCCCTGTGTACGCAATGTTACACATCGACCGATTTGGTTCAACGCTGTTGAGCCGTTAAATGGGACGGCGAGGCGCGGGTAGATGATAGTTGAGCGAATGATACTATAAAACCACGATTTTATAACCAAGCCCGAATTTGAGATCAACAAATGACTAATTGTTAAACACGTATATTTATGAGCTAGCTATCATGAGGTTGATCGTCTTGGCGCCTAGTGGATACATCCAGTTGTACGTTTCAAGTCTCGCAACAGCTGGCATAGATTGAGCGTGTCAACTGCTGAGTTGTAAGACCTAAACCTTGCCCTTAGGACTTGACTCAGAAGCGATTGAAGCACCCATCCGGATTCTGCTGGCACCTGGTTATCTTTTAGACCTTGAATAGGTACCTGATTGTATTCGCCTTAGGCACCACCTAATTAGCGGTGGAGGGCTTGATCTTCAAGGGTCCTTTTGAGGTCGCAAGATCTTGCCGATACATGCCGCTTTTCTTTGTTACAACACCAAAACAAACGACCCTGAGTCGTGACAACAATGGTATGGCCGTTCGGACCCTGGAACTCTGAGAGGGAAAATGAGAAGAAGAGACTCGAAGAAGAGGCGAAGCGGCGGCCTGTATCATGGACGGACACAATAGATCGCCTTAGATCAGATCCTTTCGATGCAGCACAATCTTGGGCGCCCGTGGTGCTGTTCCCACTAGCAGGCATGGCAGCTCTTCAACTCTATGCGAATTACCTTCGTCGGATTCCTGGTTCCGCATATGTGCGCCCCAACTTCTTTCGCAATCGAAGTATCTATGGACGGGTTAGCAGCGTTGGTGATGGAGACAACTTCCATCTCTTCCACACACCAGGCGGTCGTTCCTTGGGATGGGGCTGGTTAAGAAAGATTCCCGAAGCCCGCAAGGACCTCAAAGACCGGACGGTATGTACGCGTTTAGCGACTGAATACGTCTCCATACTAATCAGGCTGAAACAAAGATCCCGATCCGCATCGCTGGTGTCGACGCTCCGGAATGCGCCCACTTCGGAAAGCCAGCACAACCTTATTCAGCCGAAGCCCTCGCATGGCTAAGAAACTACATCCTCAAACGTAACGTTCGAGCATATGTGTGGAGACGGGATCAGTACGATCGAATCGTCGCAACAGTGTATACCCGACGGTGGTTGTTGCGGAGGGATGTAGGTCTGGAGATGATCAAAGCTGGCATGGCAACGACATACGAGGCCAAGCAAGGAGCAGAATTTGGAGGAAGACAAAAGCTCTACGAGAAGGCCCAAGCTAAAGCGAAACGTAAACGAAAGGGAATGTGGGCTGGCAATGCCAAAGATTTCGAAAGCCCAAGAGCTTACAAGACGAAATGGGCTGGAACTGACAAGACCGGCACTTGAAGATACCGAGCACGATTGATGATCATGGTAAAACGACAGCATGGATTGGGTTGCATTAGAGAGACATCCCAGCATGAATTAAGAAAGAATCAAGAATTTCAAAGACCAAGGCTACAACGGAGTACTATCGGCTAGGTATACATATTATGTATGGCATCTCGCTTTGTGATATATTTTAGGTCTTGTTTAGCAGATCATTGAGACTGACAATGAGGCTTAGCAAAGAGGCCCCCATTATTCAAGAGCCCGAATTCAGGTTGTTCGGCTGTCATTGCATTGAAAGCAAGACTGGCATCGACCATGGACGCCAGTTGCAAAGGATTGGTCTGACACGTTGGCAGGCATGGACATAGCCATAGCCGGTGCCAGAGCCGGTTACGACACAAAAAGCAAACAACAGGCCGGGGGTCCCACGCAAGGGACTAGCCAGCACGATTCAGAGTGGTTTCAGAAGGTTGTCGGTTTGTGTTAGTGATGTAAAACTAAAGCCAAGACAGCCATGAACAAGCACAAGGAAAACGTGTCTTAACATGAGAGATGTTCTCGAAACTGTGTCGATCAAAGGAGATCGGCGACTCGCTCTCTTCATAGTACATTGGTTACCAGCATAATTTTGTTGCTCCAGTAAGTTACGCCTCGTATAGGTACCTATAGCAGTGCTGTGAATGTACATGCATGGATATACCATGCGTCTGGCCCCTGCATTATACTGCAAAGCAATCAAATTCTCGTCTATCAAAGCAAGCACCAGAAACAAACATTCAATTCCAATAATTGCCATTCGCTTGCTAATGCAACTTACAAACCATCAAAACGCTATCATTTGGGGACAAACAAGAGTAACAATGCACAACAGGCTGTGATACCACAGTCGAAAAGCCCCTGCCTTATCCCCCAACCTCCTGAGTTTTAGCGCGTGATAGCCTCAAAAATACGCGGGTAGCGATGGCACTGGGCACTACCTTGCACTGTCGAGTTATATTGTCTGGATCAACCGCTTAAGCTTCAGCCATGATAGCGTGTAAGCCACGCACTACTTGAGCATGGGTATGAAGGAGGCCAACGGTCAGAGGTAAGAGATCAGCAAATGTACAGTAGTAAGTATATGGATGGCGATGATGAGGATCACGATGAATATCACTCTCAGCGTTGGTCAAATCCAAGATATAGTACATTCATTGCAATGGATGTTATGAACGTTATGCATGGAAGTTGAGTTTAGCCAGTAAGTTCTTCTGTAGGTAGCTGTTTCCCAGCATTGGAAGCTTGCAGCGGCAGGTGAAAAGGAAGCCCCACTCATCCCCTGGAAACCCCAGTCAAGCCAAGCCAAGCCAAGCCAACATCGACGGGAATCAGCTCTTCCCTCTCGGTCTCTCCTAATTCTCACCTCATCCTCCGCGATAATTCTTAGAGCCGTGAGAGAGAGAGGAGGATCCTTACCTTTGCATCTTGCAACCCTTCACTCGTTATACTCGTCTCTTCTCGTCTCTTCTTTTCTCTATTGTTTGTTTCCCCAATTCAGCACAACACCAGTCAGTGTGCTATACTTAATACACCGCCCACGTCAACTCGACAACAATTGAATACCAGCTCCGGCTCAGCCTCAGCCTCAATTGATTGATACTCGGTATTCGCACTCATTAATACCGCGTTCTTTTCTTATCTAGATTTGTTACCGCCCTTTCTTCAGTCTGCAGCAACCCGAACCACCCAGCCATCTTGTACGGCCTTAATTCAGCATTCCAACGGTTGTCGACCTGGAGACACGATATCTGTCCCTCACCTCAATCTTTAATCGAATACCAGCTACCCAGACGCGTGCCTCACCTCGGAGACACACAACTACTGCAAAAGCACCTCGTCACCCCGCACTTTGGACGCGGTAGAACACGAAAAACCATCACCCAGTGGGCAATCGTACATTAGATCATTGCCACCAACGACATCTCTTGATACGAGGACGACGCTCGCCGATAATCAAACTCTGGGTGCTTCTCTCAAACCTATTGGGTGCTGAATTAATTAAGGTGGCGCCCTTGCACAACTTCTGTGGCTGTACTACGTACCTCGGTCGTACATCGTGAAACTCAGGTACGTTTATTTTCTCCTTTTTCATCACCAAGACAAGATTGTTACATTTTTTACAATCGAGAGCCATCGACGCATGTTGTTTGCCTCGTCCACTTTCTTCGTTACGACGCTGTTATTTCGGTTGCTGCTTAATTATTTGTCGTCATCCCACATCCATGCGCAGGTACCGCATTGCACTGAACATTGGGGTCTAACCGAGTCGGGCTAGTGGTCAGATACTGGAAAATCCAATGCACGCCTAGAGAACGGACATCGCCATCGCTAGCAATTTCCCGCATACGTGCTGCAGTAGTACTGCTAGCCGCCCAACCTACATCCTACAAACCACGATTTTAATTTCCATTGCGCACACTCGACGACTTTGCAACAAGCGACTTTCCAAGCGACAATCTTGACGAATAATTCGAACCATATCCCACGATCTTTACCTGTTTTCACAGCTGGTTGGCTTCTTCCAGTGCGCACCAATCCGCATCGCTCCCGCTTTCTCGACCGTTAGGAAACGCGATTCTTTGCCCCTTGACATGGCCCACAGTCAATCCTGAGATGCATGCGCGACCAAAATTGATTTCCAAGACTCATAAAATTTGATATTCCAGCGCGGGAACCGGTAGCGAAAACGATCATATCGATAGCAGGCGATAATTCACAGTTATGCGATTACCTCTTCAACGGCGTGGCCCATCGGCACGCCAAAGCCACAGCCTAGGTCCCGTTCTGGGTTCTAGCCTTATGGCTTTAGCAGCTCTGGCGCCTTTTACACAAGCCATCAACTTCAACTCAGTACCATCGCCGAACCTTGACTTTTCAAATTTAGGCAGGATCGGCATAGTCGGAGACTTTGATGGAATTTCACTTTACGAATATGAGGGGCAGAATGAGAGTCCTCGCAACTCCAATGGCAGCGAGTCACTCCTGGCCCAACTGCCTAATGGCGCCTTCACATCGATAATATCCAGCGATGCCTCGATACGAGCCATGTGCTCATTCCAACTCAGTAATGGAGAAATGCAGGGAGTGGTAATAGGTGGTAATTTCACGAGCTTGGACGGCACACAATCGAAGGCAGTTGCGCTCTTCAACCCTAGCACGACTGAAATCACCCCTCTGACCGGAATCGAGGGCGAAGTCAACGCTGTGTATTGCGACCAAGAACGAGACACGGTTTACGTGGGTGGTAATTTTAAGGGCGCCAACTCCACCAACGCGATCGCATGGGTTGGCACAGATGGATGGACAAACTTACCGTTCGCTGGTTTCAATGGTCCTGTAAAGGCCATCACGAAAGCTTCTAACGGGCACATCATCTTTGGTGGTACTTTTACAGGTCTAGGAAACTCGAGTGCCCCCAACGAATCTATCAGCCAGATCATTAACCTCTCGACGGCAAACATCACCGACGACCATGGCTCTTCAAGTACTGACCCCAAAGACATTGTCTGCCCTGGGTCTTCGTCAAGTCCTTGGTTACTTCAAGACAACACACCCGGTTACTGGGAAGCCGATTTCTCCTTTGGTTTCGCGCCTTCCAAGCTGAGGCTTCGAAATACCCGCCAGGATGGCCGTGGCACCAAAACATTTCGCTTCGTCGCTTACCCAATTGATGGAATCATGAACCTGACATATGTCGATCCAGAGAGTGGAAACAATGTTACCTGCACTAGCGAGTGCCCTCTCCTCGACAACGATGATTATCAAGATTTCACATTTGTCAACCGTGTCGGCATGAATAGGTTCCGACTTGCTGTTTCTGACTGGTATGGCAGTGGTGGTGGCTTAGAGGCCATCGAGCTATATCAGAGCGATATCTATGCATATGCTATCTCTGACTTCAACGAACCGAAATGCGGCGGAGTTAAGAACCCGTCCTCGGCTACTCACACCGGACCCTGGAAAGTTTCTCCCTCTTTGGAGAGCAGCTCTGAGTACCTCGTTGCTGAACTTGAGGGCAATTATGACCCCGAATCAGTCTCTGTCACGTTCTATCCCAATATCATGGAATCTGGCAATTATTCTGTTAACATTTACACCCCTGGTTGTCAAGCCGATGACACCTGTGACTCAAGAGGTCGTGTCAATATCACGGGCATCATGGCAGGTGATGATGACAAGGATACTAATTTCACGTCCACATTATACCAAACGAACTACTTCGACAAATACGACCAGATCTATTTCGGATATATCGAGAAGAGCTCGGGATCTTTCAAGCCTTCGGTCACCCTTCGCCCACTGGCTGGTCAAGACGTCGACTCACTGACGATCGTTGCTCAGAGGGTCGAATTTACCCTTACCAACTCAACTGGTGGCCTCAACGGTCTCTTCGACTTCGACCCTGAACAAGCCGTCGTCAATGCATCAAGCCTTTCGAGCTCTCCAATCAACAAACTTGGCGCCAGCTTCGACAGAACCTCTGGTGTATCTGTTCTTGTCACGGACAAGAATATCACCTACGTTGGTGGCAACTTCACCTCCAAGGATCACGACAACATCCTCGCTATTATCGAAAATGACGATGTCAAGGAGCCCGGCGGTGGCCTCAACGGCGAGGTTTTCACTATGTATTTGAACGACACCCAGCTCTATGTTGGTGGAGACTTTTCAAATACCGACAATGGACCCGTGGCTGGCCTGGACAACATTGCCGTCTATGATACCGAAGAGGATAAATGGAGTCCCTTGGGTGCTGGCCTTGACGGTCCTGTCAAGTACGCTGTGCCACTAATGATAAACATCACCGCGGATACGCCTGAACTGGTTATCGCTTTCACCGGCAGTTTCTCTTCATGCAACGCTTTCGATGAATATAATTCCATCTCAGTGGACGGCTTCGCCGTCTGGGTGACTTCTAAGGGCAATTGGTTGCAAAACCTTGACGGTAACTATCCTGCCTTTGGTGGATCACTTACAGCTGCTCTTCTTGACATTCCTATGGACGGAGGCTCTCTCTATGCCGGCGCTCTTTCATCCGCACAGCTTGGCGCCGGTGGTGCCGCCACCCTCGGGGATGACGGCCTCGGTCATTTCCCTCTTAAAATTCGCACGTCCACGTCGTCATCTAACTCTTCCAAGTTAACACGACGTGATGTGACTTCATTCGACAGAAACACTACTGGCGTCGTGACTGGTGTCTTCTATGACGATAACGACTACAACATCACTATCCTCGCAGGACATTTCACTACTGAGTCAACGAAGGGTGAAGAAATTCAGAATATCGTCCTTCTCGAGGATGATACTGTGACAGGACTCGGGTCCGACATTTCCAACAGTTCCACTTTCGTCGCTCTCGCTGTTCGTGACGGCATCCTGTTCGCGGGTGGTGATATCAGTGGTGCAATCGATGGGACTGATATCCGTGGCCTTGTCTCATACAACCTGGAATCGAAATCGTTCAACTCACAACCCCCCTCTGTATCTGGTGCCAATAGCACCGTCGCAGCGATCGCCGTTCGTCCCGGTGATTCTGGCGAGGTCTATGTGGGCGGCTCATTCGACACTGCCGGTGCCTTGGACTGTCCTGGTCTTTGCACCTACAACGTGAACTCTGGGCAGTGGAATCGCCCAGGTAGTCAGCTTGAGGGTACCGTCTTCAGTTTGCTGTGGATGAGTAAAAACCAGCTGGTTGTTGGTGGTGATCTCCGTGGCAATGGGTCAGACAATCGTTACCTTTCAAGCTGGGACGCCAATTCGGAATCTTGGTCCAACTTTCCCGGCTCCGAAAATATTCCCGGTCCTATCTCAGTCATCTCCCCCGGATCTAGTGACTACAAACAGCTTTGGGTGTCTGGCACTTCTGCCGATGACAACTCTATCTATGTCATGAAGTATGATGGTGAAGCTTGGCATACTGTCAAGCCTTCTTTGTCATTAGACACGATCATCCGCGGCCTACAGGTCTTTTCCGTCACGGAGGACCATGAGGACACCGATCTGCTGGATAAGAACCAGGTCTTAATGTTGACAGGCTCTATCGACATCCCTGACTTTGGGGTTGCTTCTGCAGCTCTCTTCAATGGCACAGCGTACCAACCCTATGCAATGACGATAAAGGCGGGTGATGGTCCAGGCACCATCGCCAGTATCTTTTCTCAGAGGGACAGCTTCTTTAAAGAAGGTAAGTTTTTACGCCATGCTATATGTTTGATGTATACTAATGTCGTATTCAGAGAAGCACATGGCTTTGGGCTTTGTCGTCCTCATCGGCCTTGCCATCGCACTTGGACTAATGCTTCTTCTTGTCCTTTGTGGAATCATTCTCGACCGCATCCGCAAGAAGCGTGAGGGCTACGTCCCTGCGCCTACGTCCATGTACGACCGAGGCAGCGGAATGCGACACATCCCGCCTCATGAACTCCTCGAGTCTCTAGGACACGGTCGAGGTGGCGCACCACCTCGCGTGTAAAGTAAGGAGGAAGATGCATAGTCTTTTCAAGATATTGTCGTTTTAGCAAGCTGCATGCATGTCTGGTTTGAGACCTTGGGCGTTTTGGAAAGGTGTACGGGATTGTTTTCGGACCAAAGAGGTCCCTTGCTATTTTCGGAAAATGGAATCACATACTGAGATCCCTGTGTGAGCATGTGGGCTCTGGTTCTATGAGCCGAAGACGCATTGTTCGGAGGCTTCAGCTTGGCACTATACCCCTACTTCGGCTGGATCCTGGAGAGGGCATTCCCAACTGGAAACAGGCTGTCCCGGTCCTGCAGGGCCTACTCTCTCTGTTCCCCATTACTTACTTCACTCCCATTTCCCTTTTTCGCTTCATGAGGTCATGACCCATCGGTTGATGTCTACCTGTCGATTATGTTTTTCTCTTCAATACTGCCCATAGATGCAGATGCCTTAGTTTGTGGGGATGACATTTCGGTCGTCTCCTTTCGTTGTATATTACTTTCAAAAGTCTACACTCAAAAGACTGCTGAGAATCCGGGGTCCGTGTTAACGGTCCCTTTTGATAGCTTGTTTCCATGAAGGGACTGGGAGGGGAAGACCTGAGTCATTTGGAGGGTTGAGATGGTCATCTGGGCGGCTCTGGTTTTGGTGATTCAGTCGATAGGGTTATAGTTAGGAGAGGCTATCTAACACTGACTCAGCTGATATGATACACCGTTCACCCATCATTAACTCACTCTGAGTGGTGATGATTTCCTATGCTTCTTGATGTGTGACATCGCGTGAGGACCCTTAGGACTTCCTGGTCCTTCCACAATGTTTGCCAGGTAGACCCTTATGCTGTTGACAGTGCTCCTTCAGTGGGACTGCATGAAGGCACGATGATACCATAGCATCTGGGTCCCTAAGGCTTGTTTTAATCGGCTCATTTCCAAGTTAGGGCTTTGACTTTGCGGGTATCCAGAGGCCGAAGCCCCTCCGATTGGAACCTCGGTGTCTTGTGAATAGTAACAAACTTGGTATCGGTCTCTAAGGTTCACCTCCACGGCCTTGGACAGAGAACCCTTCCTTCTGGGGTAGACAATGAGGCAGAGTGGACTCACTCGATGTTCGGCAGTTGATCATGAGCTGTTGTTTATTCCTGTCATCGGGCAGGCCGTTATGCACGTTTGACAATTGACACGAGGGTGCCCCTTGCTCGAGCTCGTTAAACTTTCGATATTGACTTCCATGCTCACTTGTTAGCATCTGTTGAACTTTGAACAATGGACGCTTTGTTTCGGATAGAAATCAGATGCAAGGCTCTTCCCCGTCAACATATTGAAAACTTTATACAACACACCTGGAGCGCAACACAAGCCATTAATGTTGAATGGTGGACGATGTTCACAACCATGTGTCGCCTACCCTATAATTAAAGTATCGGGACATGATTGATCATGTTTTGCTATTGCAATACTGTTTCACGACTGAAAGATACGAGACAAGGGTGGCTCAGTCGCTATGACATGTTGTCACATTATATTGAACCGTTCTTTTGATCCATCTCCCTACTGCCCTGTGAAATCTCATATTGGAGATGTGATGTCTCAAAGGCTTGAGCAGCTGAAATGCTGGGCTGTCGTAACTTGGTCTACGAATAGCCTCCGTAACAATATCAACCGGCACATCAGATTACACGCCTTTAGAACTGCATGATGAGTGCCAAGTAAACTCAAATGTCTAATCCATTTGGCGAGTGTGGATCGGATCGCGTTGGTTGCGATAGTGTTCCAAGCATAGTCGTTTTCTGGTTGCCATGCCGTATCATCCTGAGCAGCCGGGACTTTATTGACTGATTAGTACTATGTAAGGATTGCATCACATGCGGTTCTATGCTTCCGATTATCGCGCAACAAGGCGCGAAAGACGGAAGAGAAAAATAGCCTCGCGTTTTCCTGCTGGCAGGAAGTAGGCAGGCATTGGCTTGGTTCCTAGCCTAACATGGGATGGCAGATCGATGACGCTGCAGACATACCTTATCACCCCGCCGCAGCCCTCTTTTGTTGGCCTCTGTCACTGTCAACACTGACTGGAAGGGTGAAGGAAGAGGTCGGTTCCCTGCCAAGCAGAATTCCAAGGGTCACCACCAACCCAAACACATCATGCTCCATGACGCAAAGTACTCCCTTCCCTCCCTCTTGGCCTCTTCGTTTTTTCTTCCTCCCCCAAGCGCCGGCTGGAAGCTGCAAGGACGGATGCAGTCCGGTAAACCAACAGAATCATTGGAAAATGCTTTACCGGCGCCGCCATTGCATCACCAGTAACACTCAACGGTGCGGTGTTGGCAGCAACACCAGCTGGTTCCGCATAGTATAAACAAAAACGTACCCATTTGACAGTACAGGGTACGATACGAAAGACTCCGTACCAATATGTATCACCTGAGCCAACCATGCCCATGTTTTTAATGTGCCAAAGCGGCAGACGTTGGTTGGTATTGGCAGTCAAAAGCAAATAGACGCGTTGGTCGCAGGGTCACTGGTCTTGACGATGTGCAAGATAGTGATTACCGTACTCTGCCTACCACCGACAGCACGGTAGGTACGTAGTTGCAAAGGGTGATTATTGACTATTACTCATATGTGTTGTGATAACAGTACTGTCCTGTCCTGTATGCGTATTGATTCGACTGGAAACATGGCGTCCCGGGAAAGCTAAAGAGCCATCCCAGAGGAAGCGTTCCGTTTGCATGTCTCGGCGACTTCGCGGGTGAACTGGCGCCTCATCTGTCACAACAACGTCGTATAGTCTGAAGAGGACGGCAGGGCAAACACCCCTGAGAAGTTTGCAAGAGTCAAGAGAAGTGTGCTAGAGAGACACAACATGACAAGGACATGCCGCTAGCTCAGATTGCGCCTTGATAGAGGGTGCACCTCAAGCCTCAAGTGCGGTCCGTGTTATCAAGGCCCAAATGCAAATGATTCAGCAAAAAAAGTGACTGCTCCTCTTAGACTGTCTCTTAGACTGTCGACATGTACCGGGGTAAACAATGGGGGAGCAGTGGAACCCCGGCACTGAGTTGGTAGCGCGCTTCTGCCTCTGCCTCTCAGAGAAGTGAGTGTCTGAGCCCAGAGTCAGAGCCAGACGAGACAAGGCGGGAGGCGTACAGGGGTTGGTCAAGTACCGCGACCGTGTGCTCGAAAGTTGAGCTAAGGCAAATTGAATGGAGCTTGGCAGAGCAAAAGATCCTACGAACCCCAGCAGCAACAGGAATCTCCCATCCTGGTAAAACCTTGTTGGGACTGGACTGGGACTCTGCGAGTCCCTCATGAACCGTCCTGGCCAATGTCGAGTACAGTACGAGACGTGATGGCCTCATCACCCATCAGTTCCTAGTTTTGGACAGTCAATAGTTCCGTCCAGCTAGCCAGCCTTGCCCGTACATACAACTCATGTCACTACACCAGCTGAAGGTCCCTTCTTTTTCTTCTTTTCCTCAAAACCCTGTCCTGATGGCGCCAAGTGCTTGCCCCTTTGGGTCACGGTCGCAGGACTGAGCCGCTAAAGAAAACAACGTTGCGTCTGCCGTTGCGGTCTAAATGCTCTGGAGTTTGTAACTTGCCTTTGAGTCTTCCACTAGAGCCAGAGCTTACACTGGAGCTAGACTTGGAGGCTATTGTACTGTACCAGGGGCATCGTCTAGGTATTACATACTCCGTACCAAGCTGATATTCAAACCCTCGACGAGACAAGCGATACAAAGTGTGATTTCAGTGTCGTTCTGCTTCGACGAAGATCAATCCCACCGTCAGCGTTACAAATTTTCATACCGAGTACTTGGGAACCCATCTATGTAACAGCCCCGCCTCAGAGTCAAGGTTCGGTTCGACGATAGAGTATTAGAGCCAATGGCGGACAAAATCCCAAGTGGTCATGGCAGAAGAAGGGTCAAGCTGATAATTCTGTTTCTCAGATACGGATAGCGGGCGTGAGAATGCGCACGGTCGTCAGGGACTTCTCCCCTCGTCCAACTACTTTGCGGTAATCGGAGCCCCTCTCTTGACTTGGGAGCTTCATTCTGTTGTCATTGAATGTTTAGAATTGCCGCGTCAGCTGAACCGTAATGATTGAATCAAGCCCTGGCTCCCAAGGTCCGCGACAAGTCCAACTGGGTCTTCACTCTTCAGGGACCTGTCTTGTCTTTCTGAAGACCCGCTATCGGGATGCCGAAAACGCTCATTGTCTCCACGGCTTGCTTGGCCCCCATCAAGATCAAGTGCGCCTACCTCTGAGCGGCTCCTGTTTTGACTCGTGCCTGTGTTATGCTTTTTCTTTCCGTGGCGCCGGCTTTGCTGTCTCCCGAGCTGTTAGTTTGCGCGCCAAATATGCACTGGCTACCGTTCGCCCCGCAGTCATGTCTGTTCAGTGCGTACGGTATCCGTATGTACAAGCTGTACCCAATTGTCTGTCTTGTTGCTGACTTTAGTCCGGACGCACCGGCCGAGATGAAAGCCAAGTCTGCACAGACTCAGAGGTAACATGCACTGTACTACTTCTGTATTAGCAGTACGTACTGTACCTGGCCTTAATCAATTGACATCACAGGGTTACTCTTGAGTTCCACGGGACCAGGATAGGTTTAATCGTGGTCGGTGGTGAGAGCCTGAAGGTGCGGGACTCGCGGAATTGATTCCTTGCACTTATTTCCTAGAAAGATTGCACTGATTGTCGCCAGGAGCTGGTCTTGGCATCGGATTGAAAGCTCCCTGAAATGCTGGGGAAGATGAGCATCGTTCCTCAGTCAGGCAACTCATGAGATCCAGTTTACTCTAGGTGCTGTAGAGTACTGTGCAGTGTGGTAATGCGTACCCAGCAGATCGGTTCATGGAACACTGGTTCTGAAGATCACCACCGCACCGGTGCTCTCAACACGTGTTGCGTGGATTGAGCATCAGTTCCTCAACCATTGCCCTGGGTTTGTCAAAACCAACAGAGCAAGATCTACACACACGATCTGGGGTGACTAAAAT